GACCCACTTGTGACACACCCCGACCCACCCCGCGACCCACCCGCGACCCACCCGCGACCCACCCGCGACCACCCCGCGACCCCCGCGACCCACCCGCGACCCACCCCGCGACCCACTTGCGACCCACCCGCGACCCAACCGCGACCAACTTGCGACCCACCCGCGACCCACTTTCGACCCACCCGCGACCCATCCCGCGACCCACCAGCGACCCACCCGCGGCCCTTCCGCGACCCACCCGCGACCGATCCACTTTGGTTTGGAGAAAAAATCGGCGCCTGCGGCGGGCTCGTCATATAATGTGTGGCACTGTGGCGCCTGCGGCGGGTTTCTCCTGAGTCTCGCAGACTGCCGACGTCCCCACCGCCCCCACAACAACGCAACAAGCAGAATCCTCACCACGGATTCTCACTTCAGCCAAGCACCCAGGGACAATAAATAACCGTTCGCCCCCTCACTCTGACGTAAGTGATTATGTACGTAAGTGTGTATGTATGTATGTATGCAAGCATGTACGTACGCATGCATGCTTGTATGTATGTATGTATGCATGCATGCATGTAGGTATGATCATATATCGGTGTGTGTATGTATGTGTGTATGTGTATGGATGTATGCATACATGCATGCATGGATGTATGTTTATATGTATACAGTGTTGCCTGTATGTGTGTATGTGTGTATGTACATATCTATCTTTGCATGTACATATATATGAATGTATGTGTGTTTGTAGGCGTGTCCGTGTGTATAAGCGTATGCTGCGTGTAGGTGTGCATGCATGCATGTATGCATGTATACATGTATGTATGTATGTATGTATGTATGTATGCATGTGTGTATGTATGTATGAATGAATGAATGAATGAATGAATGAATGAATGAGTGAATGTATGTATGTATGTATGTATGTATGTATGTATGTATGTATGTATGTATGTATGTGTGTATGCATGCGAGGGCATCCGATGGCAGTGCACATGGAGCTACCGATCCAACCGCATCGAAACGTGGGCCCAGGTCGTACACCGACTCAAGAAAGAATGCGGCCCCATGTTCGTTATCGGCAAGAAGGCTCTCTGCGACCAGCGGGTAGGGCGGCCGGGAGCGACCTGTAACCCAGACGGACAGGACGACTCCTGTGAAGAGATCGTCTGCCAGCTACGCGGCAAGAACTCTACCATCCGACGACTGCGCCATGCACGCAGACTCCGCATCCACTGGCACGCAGCACGGGACGCACACGCAGAACGGATGGAACAGCTAGCGAGAGGTCGGGCCTGTCCTCCAACAGGGGGAGTTTGGAAGAAAATTGAAAAAATAATCAAAACACACACACACACACAAAATGGATAACAAATGCAACAAAAATCGCCCCCAGACTATTTTGAATGTCCTTCCGTAAAGGGACGGGCCCGACTTAAAGCCAGCTGGCAAGGGCAAGGGCAAAGGCAACGCCCCAGACTCGACAGCGGCGCCGAGTTTTCTCCGGGGAGGTGCCCGCCTGCTTTCGCCTCCGCCTCCGCCGACGAGGCCCTCCAGTCGTCGTCGTCGTCGTCGTCGTCGCCGCCGTCGTCGTCGTCGTCGTCGTCGTCGTCGTCGGCGGCGGCGGCGGCGGCGGCGGCTGCGTGGCTGAGTTTGCTTTGGGGGGCGCCTCACGCATTCACTCACCCTCCTCTTCCTCCTCTTCCTCCTCCTACTCCTCCTACTCCTCAGCCTCCTTCTCCCCATGTCCCTGGTGCCGGGGACAAACTCGGCCAGGCCAAACTCGGCCCGACGAACTTGGACCGGTCGAACTCGGCTTGTCGAACTCGGCCGGTCCAACTCGGCGGGTCCAACTCGGCCAGTCCAACTCGTCTGGGGTCGAACTCGGCGGGTCCAACTCGGCTGGTCCAGCTGGGCCGGGGTCCAACTCGGCTGGTCGATCTCCGCCGGGGTCGAACTCGGCCGGGACGCAACTCGGCCAGGTCGAACTCGGCCTGGTCGAATTCGGCCAGCGCTCTAGCTGCAGCGTGCGCCCATTTCCAAATCGGTCTGTCGAACTCGGCCGGTCGAGCTCGGCCGGTCGAACTCGGCCGGGTCGAGCTCGGCCCAGGCTCAACTCGGGCCGGTCGAACTCGGCCAGGCCGAGCTTGACCTTGCCGAGCTGGACGGGCGTCCTGCGCTGCCCCCAACTCCACCGTGCCTCCTGCAAGCCCACGGAAGTCTACAGTCGCAGCCCCCGAGGGAGCCGCGAGGTCTCGAAGGTGTCCCCGCTGCCCTGCAACCTCCACCGTGCCCCCAAAGAAGCCCACGAAGGTGGCGATGCGTTCACCTCCGCCGTCGTTCCCAGGAGGCCACGGAAGCGGCGACAGCTGTGCAGTTCGCGGCCCCCGAGGGAGCGCATAGGATGCAGGGGAGGTCGTAGGCAGGAGGAGAGAGGAGGATGGAGACCACAGTGCTGAATTCAAAACGAGAACCCAACCAAGGGAGGGTTGGGAAACAAATGCGGGGGATGGTTGATTGTCGCGGGAATCGTTGGGAGGCTTGTGACCCAAGAGAGGTCCAAGATATCCCCAGATTCTGTCATATTGCGTCTAAGCGCAATATAGTCCAAGTTGCCTCAAGATGGCCTCCAAGATGCCTCCAAGAGACCCCATGGTGGCCCCAAGATGGCCCTACGATGGGTCCAAATGGCCACGGAGACCCCCACGGAGGCCCCCTAAGAAGCCAAAGATCTGCCAAGATGGCCCTACGATGGGTCCAAATGGCCACGGAGACCCCCACGGAGGCCCCCTAAGAAGCCAAAGATCTGCCAACACCTTCGGAATTGTAATGTGTGTTTGCTGTCTCACTCTTTCGCTTCCGATGGGCTTTGGAAGCCGCAAGAAGGTGCCAAAAGGACCCAGGAGGGGTCCAAGAGGGCTCCAAGACGGCCCCAAGAGCCTCCACGAGCGCCCTAAGAGCGTCCCAATGGGATCCCAAGGGGCGATGTTGGGGGCTCCGCAGGGACAAGGGACAGTGCAAAGTAAGAACTTTCTATAGTTGATCGGTCTCCTCCAAGATGCCTCCAAGAGGCCCCCAAGACGCCTCCAAGCGGCCCCTAAGAGCCCTCAAGAAGCTTCCCGGAAGCATCCAAGATGCCCCAAGAGTCCCCCAGGACCGCCAAGGTGCCCCCCAAGACGCTCCCAGAGACCTCCGAGGAGCGCCCAGGAGATGTCCCACGAGACGCCGGAGAGCATCCAGGAGGCCTCTGGCCCTTTCGCTCGTGGACGACCTCTTGCCCCCCTAACCCTCCTCGTCCTCCTCTCCCTTCCCCCCTCCTCCCTCCTTTGGCGGCCCCAGGCCAGAGCCCCGTGGCTCGCACGAGGAGGCCAGCTCCGCATCCCCGACCTGTTCATGACGGACTAGGGTGGGGAGCGCCTTCTCTTTTTTGTTTCTGCTGTCTCTATGCTGACAGTCATTGAACAGATGGAGCACACTCATGGTCATGCCCCTCGTCGCACACACACACACACACACACCTTCGGCGGCGACGGCAGCGTCTGGCGACACGGGCGCGCCGAGAACAAGACCCACGGCTACCCTCTCGAAGGGCGGCCGCACGCCGTACCCCCGGGCTGCTCCCCGGCGCCTCGCCACGAAGACATCCTCACAAATCTGCGCCGACAGCAGGGAGGTCCGAGCGCAACCAACGAGGCAAACAGCCTGAGGCATCCCCAAACTTCCGCCGTGGACCGGGGAGCATCACAGCCCCTGACGGCTCCCCCCTTTTTGGGTGCTGAAGCCAGTGCCTCGACCACTCACTCCTGGACATGACTGGCCTGATCGCGAGTATTCGTTTGACGATCACCTTCTTTCCTTGTTCAACTGCGTGCTCCTACACTTCCTAGATCATGGCAGTTCGCCCGTTATCGTTTGTGGATGGCCTGATGGGATACGCGAAGCATCAAGAGCTTTGTGCCAGGTGCTTGGATGGAGGGCGCTTGTCTTTCATACTTGGGCTACCGCCCGAGACGCCCGCAGACTCCAACACCAGAATTCCAAGTTTCGCAACGCTTCCGCGGATAAGGGGGCAGGTCCTTATCAAAACGAGCTATCGCTGGACACTCCCTTGAACTTAGTCATCCTATCTCTTGGCGTTTCTCTCGGGCCGGGCGAGAGGGGGGGATAGCAAAGGGGGGGGTTGAGAATCACCTCACGTAGCTGATTTTCCCGGCGCCTCCCGGCGCCGGAGGCGACTATGTATCGACCCTCGGTGAGGCCGAACTCAGCTGCATGCAGCAGATTTCGTAACCCACCCTTTCCCTGATTGAAGGAAAAAGGAAAAAGGAGGAGGAGGAGGAGGAGGAAGACGGAGCAGGAGGGAGGATGAGAGGAGGACGGAATGAAAGGAAGAAGAGTGGAGAAGAGGAGTGCAGCAACAAGAGCGGTTCCTTTTTCGAACCCTTTGAAGGCCGAAAACCCGCCACGCTCGTCCAGTCTGGAGCTCGTTCCCAATCCCCCCCTTTCGTCCGGCCCGATTCTCGTGGCTACAAGAACGGGGGGCGGATCCGTTCAGGCCGGGGCCTCGCCCGAATGCCAGGCCCACCGGGCGCTCGTCGTTCGAGGGCGGCACTTCCTGCAGTGGAAAGGAACACTTGCATTAAGTCGGGCGTGTCCCTCTACAGGGGGCTTTTCGACGAAAAATAAAAATAGTCACAAAATACTTAAAAAGTGTCAAAAATATGTTTAAAAATTATCCCCTGACTATTTTTTTACTATTTTTGAATATTCCCCCTGTAGAGGGACGGGCCCGACTTAACACTTGCAGGGACTTCCGAGAGGACTTGGAACGGGAGGGTGAATTGCAACATCGTTGACGCCTCCCCGGTGTACTCTCTCTGGACCCCCTTCCTCCTCCTCCTCCTCCTCCTCCTCCTCCTCCTCCTCCTCCTCCTCCTCCTCCTCCTCCTGTCCCTGCTCTTCTCCGCCCCCCTCCTGCAAACTCGAAAGAAACTTCAACGCAAGGCGCGAGGCGCCTCGACGCGCGACTCTATTCTTGTCAGCTGCTGCACGACGTCCAACCACTGCATCGGCTTCGCGCGCTTAGCCGCCTGAAAGGAGCGGGTGCGTGACGGCCCGCGGCAAAAGCATAGGGGAAAGAGAAGAGGGATGCGGTGGAGTTCCCCTGGAGACCTGTGTCCACGAATTTTGCGTGATGTGTTCGGTTCGGTCTGTTTCCGACTCCATGGGGTATCCGCGGCAATGGTGCGGCATTGTTTGTTTCCCCACATGCTTCGTGGGGTTCTGGTTTTCTTCCCTTCCGCGTCTCACACGCGTCTCCTCCTTCTCCTTCTCCTCCCTCTCCTTCTCTTCCCTGCCGCGCCGCACCCGCGCTCATTCACCTCACTCAGCTCAGCTCAGCACAGCACACAGATCGTGGCAGGAGTGGCACTTTCTCGACACCACAGGGGGTGCGCAAAGGGTGGTCCCTCAGCGCGGCCTCTATCCGTGACACGCTCGCAGATCGTGGCAGGAGTGGCACTTTCTCGACGCCACAAGGGGTGCGCAGAGGGTGGTCCCTCAGCGCGGCCTCTATCCGTGACACGCTCGCAAATCGTGGCAGGGGTGGCACTTTCTCGACACCACAGGGGGTGCGCAGAGGGTAGTCCCTCAGCGCGGCCTTTATCGTGACACGCTCGCAGATCGTGGCAGTAGTGGCACTCTCTCGACACCACAGGGGGTGCGCAGAGGGTGGTCCCTCAGCGCGGCCTCTATCCGTGACACGCTCGCAGATCGCGGCAGGAGTGGCACTTTCTCGACGCCACAGGGGGTGCGCAGAGGGTGGTCCCACAGCGCGGCCTCTATCCGTGACATGCTCGCAGATCGTGGCAGGAGTGGCACTTTCTCGACACCACAGGGGGTGCGCAGAGGGTGGTCCCTCAGCGCGGCCTCTATCCGTGACACGCTCGCAGATCGTGGCAGGAGTGGCACTTTCTCGACACCACAGGGGGTGCGCAGAGGGTGGTCCCTCAGCGCGGCCTCTATCCGTGACACGCTCGCAGATCGTGGCAGGAGTGGCACGTTCTCGACACCTCGAGGGGTGCGCGGAGGGTGGTCCCACAGCGCGGCCTCTATCCGTGACACGCTCGCAGATCGTGGCAGGAACGGCACTTTCTCGACGCCACAGGGGGTGCGCAGAGGGTTGTCCCTCAGCGCGGCCTCTATCCGTGACACGCTCGCAAATCGTGGCAGGAGTGGCACGCTCTCGACTTCACGAGGGGGTGCGCAGGGGGTGGTCCCTCAGCGCGGCCTCTATCCGTGACACGCTCGCAGATCGTGGCAGGAGTGGCACTCTCTCGACGCCACGAGGGGGTGCGCAGAGGGTGGTCCCTCAGCGCGGCCTCTATCCGTGACACGCTCGCAGGTCGTGGCAAGAGTGGCACTTTCTCGACACCACAAGGGGTGCGCAGAGGGTGGTCCCTCAACGCGGCCTCTATCCGTGACATGCTCGCAGATCGTGGCAGGAGTTGCATTTCCTCGACACCACAAAGGGTGCGCAGAGGGTGGTCCCTCAGCGCTGCCTCTATCCGTGACGCGCTCGCAGATCGTGGCAGGAGTGGCACTTTCTCGACACCACAGGGGGTGCGCAGAGGGTGGTCCCTCAGCGCGGCCTCTATCAGTGACACGCTCGCAGATCGTGGCAGGGGTGGCACTCTCTCGACACCACAGGGGGTGCGCAGAGGGTGGTCCCTCAGCGCGGCCTCTATCCGTGACACGCTCGCAGATCGTGGCAGGAGTGGCACTTTCTCGACACCACAGGGGGTGCGCAGAGGGTGGTCCCTCAGCGCGGCCTCTATCCGTGACACGCTCGCAGATCTTGGCAGGAGTGGCACTTTCTCGACACCACAGGGGGTGCGCAGAGGGTGGTCCCTCAGCGCGGCCTCTATCCGTGACACGCTCGCAGATCGTGGCAGGAGTGGCACTTTCTCGACACCACAGGGGGTGCGCAGAGGGTGGTCCCTCAGCGCGGCCTCTATCCGTGACACGCTCGCAGATCGTGGCAGGAGTGGCACGTTCTCGACACCACAAGGGGGTGCGCAGAAGGTGGTCCCTCAGCGCGGCCTCTATCCGTGACACGCTCGCATATCGTGGCGGGAGTGGCACTTTCTCGACACCACAGGGGGTGCGCAGAGGGTGGTCCCTCAGCGCGGCCGCTATGCACGACGGTCGTCCATGGCATAGCAGGCGTGGAACTTTCTCGACGTCATAGGGGGTGCGCAGAAGGTGGTCCCTCAGCGCGGCCTCTATCCGTGACACGCTCGCTGGCACTTTCTTGACACCACAGGGGGTGCGCAGAGGGTGGTCCCTCAGCGCGGCCTCTATCAGTGACACGCTCGCAGATCGTGGCAGGGGTGGCACTCTCTCGACACCACAGGGGGTGCGCAGAGGGTGGTCCCTCAGCGCGGCCTCTGTCCCTGACACGCTCGCAGATCGCGGCAGGAGTGGCACTCTCTCGACACCACAAGGGGTGCGCGGAGGGTGGTCCCTCAGCGCGGCGTCTATCCGTGACACGCTCGCAGATCGTGGCAGGAGTGGCACTTTCTCGACACCACAGGGGGTGCGCAGAGGGTGGTCCCTCAGCGCTGCCTCTATCCGTGACACGCTCGCAGATCGTGGCAGGAGTGGTACTTTCTCGACACCACAAGGGGTGCGCAGAGGGTGGTCCCTCAGCGCGGCCTCTATCAGTGACACGCTCGCAGATCGTGGCAGGAGTGGCACTTTCTCGACACCACAGGGGGTGCGCAGAGGGTGGTCCCTCAGCGCGGCCTCTATCCGTGACACGCTCGCAGATCGTGGCAAAGTGGCACTTTCTTGACACCACAAGGGGTGCGCAGAGGGTGGTCCCTCAGCGCGGCCTCTATCCGTGACACGCTCGCAGATCGTGGCGGGAGTGGCACTTTCTCCACACCACAGGGGGTGCGCAGAAGGTGGTCCCTCAGCGCGGCCGCTATGCACGACGGTCGTCCATGGCATAGCAGGCGTGGCACTTTCTCGACGTCATAGGGGGTGCGCAGGGGGTGGTCCCTCACCGCGGCCGCTATGCACGACGGTCGTCCAGGGCATAGCAGGCGCGGCATTTTCTCGACACTATAGAGGCTGCGCAAGGGGGTGGTCCCTCACCGCAGGCCGCCATGCACGACAGTCGTCCAGGGTATAGCAGGCGTGGCACTTTCCCGACATCATAGAGGGTGCGCAGGGGGTGGTCCCTCACCGCGGCCGCTGGCTGGCTCGAATCTGTCCTCGATGGAGGATAGCAGGCTAGGAAGAGGGAGGAGGTTCAAGCAATATGGCGTTGGATGACACCGAGGGTAACATTCGCGACGAGGGCTGACAACGCAGAATTGCGCATATATTATACAGTTAAGCAAGCACATAAGATTTACATTAAGTATGTGGGGTTCCTCGGTAGCGTAATTCGCGCGGCGATGTTTCGGCGAGGTCTCGGCGATGTTTGTCTGTTGTGCATAGAACAAATGATACCAGAGAAAAACCCAAACATATCTTTTTAGGGCTATAGGGCTATGGGGCTATCGGGCTAAAGGGCTGTAGCGCTACTAGGGCTACGGGGCTATAAGGCTATAAGGATATAGGGCTAAAGGGCTATAGGGCTAGAGGGCTACAGGGCTATAGGGCTATTAGGACTATATAGAGCTATAGGGCTATAAGGCTATAGGGCTCTTGGGCTATAGGACAATAGGGGTATAAGGCTGTGTACTATAGGGCACCGGGGCACCCGGGCACCCCTTGGCACCTCCGGGCACCCCCCCCGGGCACCCCCGGACACCCGGGCCAGCCACCGAAATCGGCGACGTAGATCACCTACACATATGAATCCGCTAGGACCCCTACAGAGGCAAGCTCGTGCTGCAATACACGGGGCGTCGCACGTGCAAGCCTAGTCCCGACAGCCCTTTGAGCGACGTGTCTGCGTGTGCGAAGCCTGCAAGCACAACCCGCGTCCCTTCTGTTCGGGGAGGCCTTCGCACCTCCCCAGGGCACTCTTCCCGTGGTCTAGGCAGAGATCCCGCTAGGCGGCGGTCTGTCCAAGATGACCCCAGATGCTTCCAATGTTGCACCAGGTAGCCCAAGATGGCCGCCACGATGATACGAGATGACACACATTGGTGTAAGCTGGTCTCCATGGTGAGTCGATGAGGCCCGCGACGGCCCCAAGATAACGCAGTGGAGCTACGATGTCTCGCACGGATGCCCTCGAGAAGCCCAAACCACGAAAGACTTACAAGCTGCTCCACGCGCATGTCGTCTCGCCGGTTCACTTCCGATGGGCCACTGAAGCTTCAAGCGTTCATCCACCCTCCTGGGCCCCTCAACGCACTTCAAGAGAGCTCCGATAGGGGCCCAAGAGACGATGCTTTAAACTCTGAGTGGACGAAATTCATTGCAACGCCCCTCGTTTGTTCGCTGTTTTTCAGAGACGCCCTCCGAAGGTCCGAAGGGCCACAACAAAAAACGGATGAATGACAAAAGAAGCCACGGCTAGGGCATCTGTGCTGTCGTCGTTTGACTGGTGCTTGTGTCAGATGGCCAAACTGTTAGCGACGTTCCTTGTGTTCGCTGTCGTTCAGAGACGCCCTCTGGAGGGCCGAAGGCCACCCCAAAAAAACAGAGGGATGGCCGAGCGAAGCGGAGCGAAGCGCGCAGATCCGCCAGAGCGGAACCCTTGAGGGTCGGCACGCGGGGGGCCGGGGCCCTAGAAGCAAGGTAAAACACTGCACGCGTCTGAGCACACAAACTGACGGAGTCAAATGTTGCGCAGCTATCTCGAATGGACCTGCAGACCATGAGACACTGGAGGATTCACGAATCGAGGCAGTTCCGTCACCTGTCGCTTCACTAGTGCTCGTTTCAGTTTGACTGATTGTGGGTCCCCCCTGGCCCCCTTGGAATGTTACCCTTGGGCGCCCACTTCATGTGCGAAGTTACCGCCCATAACATGTGCTCGTTCATTGAGCGCGCTCGGTTCACAAGATGCGGGGGGGGAAAAGGGAAGGGAGGGGGCAGGAGGGAGGGGAGGACCCTCTGATGCTCA